TACTCTGTAGTGTTCTCTTTGCTTAAAACAAACAAACAAATGAAAAGCACCAAACAAATGAAAGAATCTCCTCTTGATCTTCTGACTTCCCTGTATGTCGACATTCGATGGCCTCAGGACTTCTGTCATGGCTCTATCTCCCATGAATGGCCCATCTCCAACCCCCATAAAGGAATCTGAACAAATGAGAAGAACCAGTTTCTCACATTAATTAGGCTAACTAGAAGTTTCATGAGAATTTAACATAGTACTTTGCCTTTTGCTCTGACTTCTGTTTGACAGACAAATAGAGTTACAATACCATGTGTATGAGTCTGTTTTTATGCTGCTGATAAAGACATACCTGAGACTAGGTAATTTATAAAGAAAAAGAGGTTTAATGGACTCACAGTTCCATGTGGCTGGGGAAACCTCACAATCATGGTGGAAGGTGAAAAGCATGTCTTACGTGGCAGCAGATGACCAAATGAGAGCCAAGCGAAAGGGGTTTCCCCTTATAAAACCATTAGAACCTGTGGGACTTATTTACTACCACGAGAACAGTATGGGGGAAAGCACCTCCATGATTCAATTATCTACACCTGGTCCCTTCCAGGACACATGGGGATTATGGGAACTGCAAGAAGAGATTTGGGTAGGGACACAGCTAAACCATATCACCATGTTTTTGTATTTTGGGAATGCGATAGAAACCTGTTAATGCAGCGCAGGCCACCAGTCTCATTCACATTTTTGTGATGATTCCTTCTAACTAGGATACAGCAACAAACCAAAGTCTAGCACCCTGAAGTGATCTGGCTCCATGTCATATTTGGTTGCCAGATAATATACGAGTCAGTTTGTTAACTTGCAAGAGAGCAGACTTCTCACCTTCCTGGATGAATCAAAATTTGCTTCCTTAAACATATTCTGCAAGTTTCTCTAAGTCTTACAAAATCTTACTGAGCAGAATGCACAAGCTAGTTGATTACATTGAGTTTATGACTAACATGGCTTAGGTGATAGAACCTGTGATCAAGAACAGTTTGTCATACACTTTGCAATCGGGTGACTTCTTCTGTTACTTAGATGCAGTGAACAAATCCATAGTATAAATGTCATATTACACTCCAGCTTATCTGTCAATCTTTGCAAAAAAGTTTAATTTGAGATTTCTGTGGGTTCATAGTAGGTACATATATTTATGGGATACATGAGCTATTTTGATATAAGCATGCAAGGTGAAATAAGTACATCCTAGAGAATGGGGTACCTATCCTCTCAAGTGTTTATCCTTTGTATTACAAACAATCCAGTTACACATTTCAGTTATTTTAAAATGTACAATTAAGTTATTATTGACTATAGTCCCCTCTTGTGCTATCAAACAGTAGATCTTATTCATTCTTTCTATCTTTTTGTGTCCATTAACTATCCCCATCTCCTCCCTGCCAAGACCCCCACTGGTTATCAGATTCTGGGAAGGTAGTAGAAGGTAACCACCCTTCTACTCTTTATGTCCATGAGTTCAATTGTTTTGATTTTTAGATCCCACAAATAAGTGAGAACATGTAATGTTTGTCTTTCTGTGCCTGGATTATTTAGCTTAACATAATGACCTCCAGTTCCATCCATGTTACAAATAATACGATCTCATTCTTTTTTATGACTGAATAGTACTCCATTGTGTATATGTACCACATTTTCTTTATCCATTCATCTGATGATGGATCCTGAGGTTGCTTCCAAATCTTAGCTATTGTGAGCAGTGCTGCAACAAACATGGGAATGTAGATATCTATTTGATACGTTGAATTTAGGTATATGCCCAGCAGTGGGATTGCTGGATGATATGGTAGCTCCATTTTTAGTTTTTTGAGGAAGCTGAAAACTGTTTTTCATAGCAGTTGTATTAAATTACATTCCCACCAACAGCGTACAAGTGTTTTCTCTTCTCCATATCCTCACCAACATTTGTAATTGCCTATCTTTTGGATATCTGTTGATACTGCATAAAAATGATAGATGAAAGCCTATGGAGGAAGGAGGTACAATGAACCTAGAAACTGTGCCATGGAAACTTTGGTTGAGGGAATTGGGGTATTTATCTTGGAAGAAAGAAGACCATGAAAGTAACATTTAAGAATCAGAATTAACAGTCTTAAATGAGTTGCAATGTATTTTCTATTGTTCTAGAGGGCAGAACCACTAAAAAAAAAAGAAAGGCATATTTTAGCTTAATCATTTCACAATGTAAACACATATAGAAACATCACATCATACCCCGTAAATAATACAAAGATTATTTATCAATTAATAATAAAATTTTTTGGTAGGCTGAGGCAGGAGAATGGCGTGAACCCGGGAGGCAAAGCTTGCAGTGAGCTGAGATCTTGCCACTGCACTCCAGTCTGGGTGACAGAGCAAGATTCCATCTCAAAAAAAAAAAAAAAATTAAATTACAAAAAATTAAATGATGTAAATACACAAGTAAACAAATTATATTAAAAATGAAGGTAAAAATGTTAAAAAAGAAATATTTCTATTAATTATATTTTTAAGAAATAAGCACAAACAGAAGGCAATGACTTCTTGATTCTTTGAAGTCTTTGTGGGGGGAATGGGAGGGGTGGAAGAAATAGTGAAGGTGAGCTTCTGTCTGAATGACGGTGAAATGAGGGTGTGTGTGGGGGACAGTGGAGACTTTCCAAGGGCTCTTTCAACTCCGTGATTTAGGGTTCTGTGATTTAAGAGAGGATGCCAGAATGAAGCTCTCACTCTGCAGAAGGTAGTTTAATGATCTACATTAACATTTTAGTCCATTATTCGTATTTCTGGCATATGTTTATTTTCTTAAGTACACCTTTCTGGGGGCCACAGCTGTGGCTGCCATTAACATAGAATGGCATTTTATCTCTGCAAGTCTAGCAACAGAAGGACATATTAAATATTTTTACCATTTTTATCCAGGATAAAAGCATCTCCTCCACCTCCTAGCTCATGGGATCAAAGGTTCATATTTTTTTCTTTTTCTTTTTTTATGCCACAAGACAATCTAGATGTTTTCTAGAAACTGTGAATGTTAGTCCCATTAAAATATACACATTTACTAGCCCACAATTTTTGCATACAATTCTAGGGGCATGTGCAACCCCTGAAGCCCGTCAACATTAGAGCTCTTTGGACTGTTTTTATTTCAATGCAGAAAAATGAATCTTAGGAAGAAACCATAGTGATGCCCTGTTTCCTGGTTTCTCATTTGCTGCTTGTGGTTCTTTCCACTCTACAGTGTGGGAGGGATCTCAGACAGCGATCTAGACCATTCCCGTGCTCCTTCTTTAGCATGACTTACCTGGACATCCCACATGACTCCCAGAATACTACATTGGCAAAACTGCCAAAGATGATTTTATAATTTATAGCATTTTATTAGCCTTAGAAAATTGTTTTGGTTTGTTTGCATGTTTTGCTTTGTATTTAGCTAAGCAATGTTTTAAGTTGTCTTGTAAAGCATAACTGTCTTCCTTCAAAAGCAAACCTCTAGATCAAGTGCAAGTAGCTTACCCAGAAAGTGTAAGAAACGCAGGTAGAGAAGAGGGAAGACATGAAGGAAAGAAAGTGAATAGAGTTTGTGGGATGTTTGAACACCAACCCACATCAGTCATTGTTTGAAGGCTGCTGGAGGTGGGTATCCTTCTTGCCTCCTGAGCATGTAGCAAAGAGGGCTTCAGCATCTGGAGAAAGCTCTTCTGGAAAAGAAATTCAGGAGGAATTCAGGAACTGGTATTGGGGAGTTGGAAGACTGGTATCCACTGAACTGGTGGGACTGTGTGGATATAGATGCATTACCTACAGAATCTGCTGCAAGAGTTTTCTTATGGTGTGCTTGAGGTTTCTTTCAATATATATTGCAGCAAACCTAATAATATGTAGAATGAGACAAGTTTGTTAACCTTATTTAAAAATGCTTTTTTTTTTTTTTAGATTCCTACTTTCCTAAAAGTATCTACTATTGTGAGTAGAACTATGTTGTTGCATTTTCTTAGTGGAGGTAAATTGGTTTAAAGGTACCCACAATTCACTTTCGATCATAGGTTCAACTTACATCAAATGTTTTTCCATAGTTCCTGCATTTAGGAAACATAATGGCTATGAGCTTTATGTCCCTTTAGTCTTTTGATATAACCTGGTAAGAGATTGCTTGTGTTCCCAGGCAGAGCGTGCATTAGAATGAAGTTTTGAATTCATTAAGCAACTGCAATATTTTACAGATTTAAACGCTAGGAGCATCTCCCAGGTGTATGTAAGTGAACCTCTCAATTAATCCAAATGGATATATATTTTTTATTCCTCAGAGATGCCTTGTATTGCCTGTGAAAGTAATAAAATTACCTAAGTTAGTGCTACAGGACATCCCTGGATTTCATTGTCAAGTGGGATCTACACATTATTAGATCATCCTCCCTGTGTCCACAGTTAGTACAGACTCCCATATGCCCATAGTCTTCATTCTCCTAAAATATCCAATCTTATCACCTGCCCCTCTTTTTTAGCAGATGATGATTTTCTCTCCTATCAAGGAGAAGCCACAAGAAGTGAACTCTAGTTTCTTGCCACCATGCCCATAGTAATCTGTACACTCATGCTTCCTCATTTCCCCTTCTCTCTCCTCTGAAGATATTATTTCCACCTCCGTTCAGGATATCTTCTGCTCCTCCCTACCTCTTGTGACTCTTCCTTAGAAAACTCATTGCTTTTGATTATTTCTTTCTCTCCCATAAAATGCACCTAAGTCTCCCTTGTCTTTGAAAATAAATCACTCCATTGAGCCCATTGCTGTTTTATCTGCTACTTTATTTTCTTTCCTCCTCAGAAACAGTCTCCTTGAAAGACTTGTTTTACACTTGCTGACTATGGTAGGCAGGATAATTGTCCCCTAAAGATATCTGTGTCCTAATCCCTAAAATGGGTAATATGTTATTTTACATTAAGGTTGTAGATGAAATGAGATTGCAAATCAGCTGACTTTAAGATAAGGTGATTATCCTGTGTTATCCAGGTGGTCCATTGTAATCACCAGGGTTCCTTAAACTCAGAAGAGGAAGAAAAGTCAGAGTCAGAGTGAGGTGACGTGACCAAGACTCCACAACTACTGCTGGTTTTGATGACGGAAGAGCACTGTGAGCTAAGGAACGCAGGCAACTTCAAGAAGCTGGAGAAGGCAAGAAAATGATTCTCCCTTAGAGCATCCAGAAAGAAACACAGCTTTACGAACACCCTGACTTTAGCCCTGGTAGACTCCTCATCAACTTCTGACCTCCAGAACTGTAAGATGATAAATATGTGTTGTATTAAGTCACTGTTTGTGGCAATTTGTTAGAGCAGCAATATAAACATTGCATTTACTGTTTTACTTCCTATTAATTCCACAATCTGTGAAATAAAACTTTTACTTTTAACAGTTTTATTAGTCAAGCTTCTCCAGAGAAACAGAACCAGTAGGATCTATCTATCTATCTATCTATCTATCTATCTATCTATCTATCTATCTATCTATCTATCAATCATCTATCTCTCTAATATATGTATCTACATATATAAAGAGATTTATTACAAGGAATAGGATCACATAATTGTGGAGGTTGATAAGTCCTAAGATCTGCAATCTGATAAGCCAGAAAATCCAATGGTGTAGTTCCAGTTCCAGTTCAAAAGTCTGAGAATCAGGAGAGCCAATGTTGTGGTTCCATTCCGAAAGCCAGGAGGCTCCAGACCCTGGAAGAGCCAACATCTCAGTTCACATCTGAAGGAAGGGGGAAAATGACCACTGACATCCCAGCTCAAGGCAGTCAGGAAAAATAAATTTTCTTTTATTCAGCCTTTTTGTTTTATTTAAGCTTCTAGCAGATTAGATGGGGCCCGTCCGCATTAGGAAAGTCAATCTGATTTAATCAGTCTACCAATTCAAATGTTAGTCTCATCAGAAACACCCTCACAGACACACCCATAAAGTCTGAACAAATATCTGGGCACCCTGTGGCCCAGCCAAGTTGACACATAAAATTAACCATCACAAAAATCAACTAGAATTTGTCTCATCAAGGCCACCCACCCACGTTTATTTTGTGGCCAAACCCTGTGGACACTTTTCAGTCCTTATCCTACCTGACTCGTCATTAGCATATAACATGCTTGCTCTTGATAAGCTTCTCTAATCTCATTGATAAGTATAATTCCCATCGTAAACACTATATCCCAGCATATAAACCTACTTTATGTCTTTGTTATATGTTTTCTTTCTCTTGTCCCAGAAACTTTGCATCTACTGCTTGCTGTGCTTGAAGCTTTCTCTGCAGCCCCAATCCCTGTTCAGTGATCCTTTTACCTGTATAAATCTCACCCATCCTTCATTTTGCTAAAATGAAATCTCCTTGAGGGGAATTATCTTGGGTCTTATAATTATATTCCCAACACCTAGCACAGTCACTGATGCAAAGTTGTTAAACAAATGGGAGAAAACCAGTAAACATATTTTACTCTGGGGAAAAGTAGAATAAAAATTAATGAGCTTAGTCTGGGCACGGTGGTTCACACCTGTAATCCCAGCACTTTGGGAGGCAGAGGCAGGTTGCTCACTTGAGGTCAAGCGTTCGAGACCAGCCTGGCCAACATGGTGAAACCCCGTCTATACTAAAATACAAAAATTAGCCAGGCGTGGTGGCACACACCTGTAATCTCAGCTACTTGGGAGGCTGAGTCAGGAGAATAGCTTTAACCCAGGAGGCAGATGTTACAATGAGCTGAGATGGTGCCACTGCACTCCAGCCTGGGTGACAGAGTAAGAATCTGTCTCAAAGAAAAAAAAAGAAAAAGAAAGAAAAAATTATGAGCTTATAGCTAACCATTTCAGGTAAAGAACAGCATAAAAACATTATAAACAATTCTATGAATTTCTTTTGGTTTTAAGGATAAGCAGATTATTGAGCATATTCAGTAATGTCATTAGAAGAAAAACAGGAGACACCCTATTTTTAAAAATCCAAAACTGAAGACATTCAAGAAAAAAAGAGAAAACACTCCATTATCTTAACAACTTTATTGAGATATAGTTCATTTACTATTCTAGTGACTCATTTAAGGTGTTGCTTTTAGTATATTCACAGATATATTCACCAATCACCACAGCCAATTTTAGATTTTTTTATCACTTTGAAAAGAAACCGTATCTATCACTCCTCATCTCCCATCCCTGCCAGCCTTAAGCAACCACTAATCTACTTTATGTATCTATAGATTTCCCTATTTGGACTTTCTAAGGACTTTCTAATCTACTTTCTGTATCTATAGATTTCCCTATTTTGGACTTTCATATGAATGAATCATATAATAAGTGGTCTTTTGTGACTATCTTCTTTCACTTATATATATATATATATTTTTAAGGTTGATTAAAGTTCTAGCATGTAACAGTACTTCAGTCTTTATTATGGCCAATTAATATTCTATCGTATGAACATTTCATTTATCCTTTCATCAGATAATGGGTATTTGGATTGGTTTTGCCTGTTGGTGCAATATCTGAGAACTCTTTGCCAAATTCAAAGTCATGAAGATTTACTCTTGTATTTTCCTTTAAGAATTCTATAGCTTTAGCTCTTTTGGTTAGGTGTTTGATACATTTTGAGATAATTTTAGTATGGTATGAGTTAAAAATCCAACTTCAGTCTTTTGCATGTGGTTATCTAATTATTTCAGAACCATTTGTTGAAATTAATAGATGGAAGGGTTTATTTCTGGACTCAACTCTATTCCATTGGTCTGTATGTCTATTCTTTTGCCAGTATCACACTATCTTGATTATCATTGCTTTATACTAAATTCTGAAACTGGAAAGTGTGAGTGTTCTTACTTTGTTCTCCTTTTCAAGATTGTTTTTGGATTTGGGGTCCCTCACAATTCCGTGTGAATTTTTGAATAAGCTTGCCAATTTCTGTGAGTCAACTGAAATTCAGATATGATTATATCTAATTTATAGATCAATCTGGGGAGTATTGACATCCTAACACTGTCAGCTCTTCCCATGCATGACTATGGAATGATTTTCCATTTATTTATATCTTCTTTAATTTATTTTATTTTAACAATATTTTGTAGTTTTCAGAGTATAAGTTCTGTGTGTATTTTGTTAACTTTATTTTTAAGTATTTCATCCATTTTGATGCTATTGTCAGTGAAACTTTCTTTTCATGTTCAGAAATTTTTACTGTAAGTAAAAATTGCAATAGAAATATAATTGATTTTTGCATTTTCATCTTGTATCCTGCAAACACTCTAAATTCTTTTTTGGTTCTTCTTTCTTTTAGTGGATTCCTTAAGGTTTTTTTATCTATAAGATTGTATCTTCTGAGAATAGAGAGAGTTTTACTTCTTCCTTTCCAATGTTTATGGAACATTGGATTCCATAATGACGAGTGAATGAACACTTCATTTTCATTTCATTTTCTTGCTTAATTACTTTGGCTAAAACCTCCAAAACAATATTGATAGAAGTGATGACAGTGAACATCTGTATTTTATTCTTGATCTTAGGGTAAACTGCCAATCTTTCACCATTAAATATGTTTTTCCTGTGAGACTTTTGGTAGATGCCCTTTATCATGCTGAGGAAGTTCTCTTCTATTCTTAGTCTGCTGAGTGTTTTTATCAAGAAAGGGTGCTGGAGTTTTTAATCAAGTGCTTTTTCTGCATCTATAAGGTAATCATTTTATTTTTCTTTTCTGTTCTACCTGGTATGCTATACATTGCATTAATTTATTTTTTGATATTAAATCAATCTTGCATTGAGGGAATAAATCCCACTTGGTCAGTTATAATTCTCTTTATGTGTTGCTGGATCTAGTTTGCTAGTATTTTATTAGGATTTTTGCATTCCTATTCTAAGAATTATTGATCTATAGTTTTCCTTTCTTGTAATATCTTTGTTTGGTTTTGGTTTCAGGGTTATACTGGGCTTATAGAATGAATTAAGGAGTGTTTCCCCCTCTTCTATTTTTTGGAAGAGTTGGTAAACAATTAGCATTACCTGTTTTTCAATAATTTTTTTCTTTTGGAATTTATCATTGAAGCCATCTGAGCCTGGGCTTTTCTTTGTGAGTCGTTTTTGATTACCAGTTTAGGCTCTTCACTTGTTATAGGTTGATTCTCATTGTCTAATTCTTCTTGAGTTCGTTTGAGTGATTTTCATCTTTTTAAGAATTTGTCCATTTCATGTAAGTTATCTAATTAGTTGACATGCAATTGTTCATATATTCCTTTATAGTCCTTTTTATTTCTATAAGGTCAGTAGTAATGTCTCCTTTTTGAGCCTGTTCTCTCTCTCTGTCTCTCTTTCTCTCTCTCTCTCTCTCTCTCTGTGTGTGTGTGTGTGTGTAAATCTAGCTAAGTCATTCAATTTTGCTGATCTTTTTGAAGAACCACACTTTGGTTTTATTGGCTTTCTCAATTTTTTTTGTTTCTTCTTTATTTCATTCTTCTATTTTCATCGTTATTATGCCCCTTTAAAATTTCTTGCTTTAGGTATAATTTACTCTTCTTTTTCTTGTCTTGGTGTAATTTTTTTTTGTTGGAGATCATTCTTCTTTCTTAAAATAGGCATTTCTAGCTGACGTTTTCCTTTAAACACTACTTTACCTGCATCACATAATTTTTGATATGCTGTGTTTTTATTTTCATTGATTCAAAATTTTTATTTTCCTCTTGATTTTTTTCTTGACCCTTTGGATATTTATGTGCATTGTTTAATTTCCACACATTTGTTAATTTTCCAATGTTTTTTCTGCTATTGGTTTCTAATTTCATTCCATTGTGGTCAGAGTACATACTTTGTTTATATTATTCTTTTAAATTCATTAAGGTTTGTTTTATAGCCTAGCATATGGTCTATCTTGGAGAATATTCCATGTGCTCTTGAGAATGATGTACACTCTGTTATTGCTGGGTGGAGTATGCTATTGCTTTCTATTAGCTTCAGTTGTCTATCTTCAAAATGGAATACTAATCTTTGAATTGCTTGTATTAAGTGGATAATGTTTGAATCACACTTGATAATACATATGAAACAATTTTGTGATTGGACTGCTATACTAGTGACTTTCAACTGGGGTTATTTTTGTTTCCAGCTATGGTTTGAATGTCTCTCCCACAGTATCTGTGTTGGAAGCTTAATCCCTAATACAACAGTGTGGAGAAGTGGGACTTTTAAGAGGTGAATATCTCATGAGAACTCTGCCACCATGAATGAATTAATGCTGTTATTGTGGGAGTGGGT